GTAATCTTGGTTGTAGGTTTTTCCCTTTCATCACTTTAAATATGTCCTGCCACTCCCTTTTGGCTTGCAGAGTTTCTGCTGAAAGGTCAGCTGTTAACCTTATGGGGATTCCCTTGTATGTTATTTTCCCCTTGCTGCTTTTAATATTTTTTCTTTGTATTTAATTTTTTTTTTTTTTTTTTTTGCGGTATGCGGGCCTCTCACTGTTGTGGCCTCTCCCGTTGCGGAGCACAGGCTCCGGAGGCGCAGGCTCAGTGGCCATGCCTCACAGGCCCAGCCACTCTGCGGCTTGTGGGATTCTCCTGGACCTGGGCACGAACCCGTGTCCCCTGCATCGGCAGGCGGACTCTCAACCACTGCGCCACCAGGGAAGCCCTGTATTTAATTTTTGATAGTTTGATTAATATGTGTCTTGGCGTGTTTCTCCATGGATTTATCATGTATGGGACTCTCTGTGCTTCCTGGACTTGATTGACTATTTCCTCTCCTATATTAGGGAAGTTTTCAACTGTAATCTCTTCAAATATTTTCTCAGTCCCTTTCTTTTTCTCTTCTTCTTCTGGGACCCCTGTAATTCGAATGTTGGTGCGTTTAATGTTGTCCCAGAGGTCTCTGGGACTCTCCTCAATTCTTTTCATTCTTTTCTCTTTATTCTCCTCTGTGGTAGTTTTTTCCACTATTTTATCTTCCAGGTCACTTATCCATTCTTCTGCCTCAGTTATTCTGCTATTGATTCCTTCTAGAGAATTTTTAATTTCATTTATTGTGTTGTTCATCATTGTTTGTTTGCTCTTTAGTTCTTCTAGGTCCTTGTAAATGTTTCTTGTATTTTCTCTATTCTATTTCCAAGATTTTGGATCATCTTTACTATCATTACTCTGAATTCTTTTTCAGGTAGACTGCGTATTTCCTCTTCCTTTGTTTGGTCTGGTGGGTTTTTACCTTGCTTCTTCATCTGCTGTGTGTTTCTCTGTCTTCTCATTTTGCTTAACTCACTGTGTTTGGGGTTTCCTTTTCGCAGGCTGCAGGTGCGTAGTTCCCTTTGTTTTTGGTGTTTGCCCCCAGTGGGTGAGGTTGGTTCAGTGGCTTGTGTAGATTTCCTGGTGGAGGGGACTGGTTGCTGTGTTCTGGTGGATGAGGCTGGATCTTGTCTTTCTGATGGGCAGGACCGCGTCCGGTGGTGTGTTTTGGGGGTGTCTGTGGCCTTATTATGATTTTAGGCAGCCTCTTTGCTGCTGATGGGTGGGGTTGTGTTCCTGTCTTGCTAGTTGTTTGGCGTAGGGTTTCTAGCACTGTAGGTTGCTGGTCGTTGAGTGGAGCTGGGTCTTAGCATTGAGATGGAGCTCTCTGGGAGAGCTTTTGCTGTTTGATATTACGTGGAGCCGGGAGGTCTCTGGTGGACCAATGTCCCGAACTCGGCTCTCCCACCTCAGAGGCACAGGCCTGACACCCTGCCGGAACACCAAGACCCTGTCAGCCACATGGCTCCACACTCTGGAAGCCCACACTCCAGACGCCCTCCTTTCGATGTGCTTCCTCTCCCCGCTGCACAGGTCCTAACCAAATGACATTATTAAGAAAGTGGAAAGACAATCTACAGAATGGGAGAAAATATGCAAATCTGAGAAGGGCCTAGTATCCATAATACATTAAAAAAAAAAAAAAGACCTCTGGGGCTTCCCTGGTGGTGCAGGGGACACGGGTTCGTGCCCCAGTCTGGGAAGATCCCACATGCCGCGGAGCGGCTGGGCCCGTGAGCCATGGCCGCTGAGCCTGCGCTCTGGAGCCTCTGCTCCGCAACGGGAGAGGCCACAGCGGTGATAGGCCCGCGTACCGCAAAAAAAAAAAAAAAAGAAAAAAAAAGACCTCTAACAACTCAGCAACAAAAAGAAAAACAACACAATTAAAATATGGGCAAAGACTTCATTGGACATTTATCCAAAGAAGATATACAAATGGCCAACAAGTATATGAAAAGATGTGCAATGTCATTGGTCCTTAAGGAAATGCAAATCAGCCACAATGAGATACTACTTCACACCCCCAAGGATGGCTATAATTTAAAAACATCCCAAACGCAGAATATGACGTGTTGGTGAGGATGTCAGACCTTTGTGCTTTGCTGGCGAGAATGTAAAATTGCATAGCCACCGTGGAGAACAGTTTGGCAGTTCCTCAGAAAGTTAAATATAGACTTAACCGTATGACCCAGCAGTTCTACCTCTGGGTACATACCCCAAACAATTGAAGACAGGTATTCAAACAAGTACTTGTACACAGATGTTCCTAGCAGCACTATTCACAGCAGCCAAAAGGTAGGAACAACCCAGATGTCCATCAGTGGATGAATGGGTGAACAAAATGTGATTTATCCATACAATGGAATATTTTTTAGCCATAAAAAGGAGTAAAGTACTGATGCAGTGATAATGTGGAAACACCTCAAAACATCATGCTAAGTGAAAGAAGGCAGACGCAAAAGGTCACATATTGTGTGATTACATTTATGTGAAATGTCCGGAATAGGTAAATTCATTGAGACAAAGAGCATATTAGTGGTTGCCAGGGGCTGGAGCAGGGGGAATGGTAGTGACTGATTCATGAGTACAAGGTTTCATTTGGGGATGACTAAAATGTTTTGGAACTGGATACAGGTGAGGGTTGTACAGCATTGTGAATATACTAAATGCCATTGAATTGTACACATTAAAATGGTTAATTTTATGTTATGTGAATTTTCCCTCAAATTAAAAAAATTGCATCATATAGTTTTTGTGATCTCATAAATAACTGTGGCTTTGCTGTCATGGTTACCTTGTGACTGTTGGAATCCATGTACTTTGTAGCATTAATACATTGGGAAAGTTCTTTCCAGCTGTGGGCAAGAAAACACGAAGACAGATGATCCCAAGTGGGTTTCGTCATAGAATAACAGTTAAGGAATATAGCCTTTTCTTTTTGACTTGTGGAAGCTGTTGAAACTTCTACCTTGAGTGTGCCCTTGGTTGTTTTAAAGTGTGATCTGGACTGATAGGATTTGGTCTCTTCATTTAATTTGAAAGAGCGTGTTTTAAGTAACTTTATAGTATTTGGCGATGGAGCAGCTTTTGGTTTTATGAAAATTAGGAGTAATTTCTCAAGAATGTGAGCTATACATATAGAATAGCAGTAAGATTTTTCTGGTGGTTTGCTGTGTTGCACTGCTAGAGACTTCTGTGACACTTTCGAAAGCCATTACAAGTGCTTTTTATTATAAGTGGAATTGGTGTCAGGAATAAGAAATTTTTTGTGTGTGCAAAAACTAAAATCCTTAGTTTCTTATTTTAATCTTATACCTGTTTTGTTTTTTGAAGGAGGGACTTTAAGTTAGATTCTAGCAAAGAGATCTGAGCTTGAGAAGAGCGTCTTAACTCAGAAAGGTAGCAGTGCTTTGCCAGTGATCGTGAAGCTTTTCTTTATGTATGGAGTTGATGCTTCTGCCTCAGGGTCATGCTCCTGCCCCTGTGTTGTATGTAGACTTGTTTCTCAAGCAGATGTTATTTATGCTAGTTGTCTTGCACGCTTCCACCTGGCTCCTCTCATGACCCACAATGTGCCATCCAGGCTAAGGGTTTGCAGACTTGAAGCAAACAAAGCGAAGTGGTTTGTAGTGGATTGAACCCACAGCTAGTTAAAGCTCTTAGAGCAGTGCCTGACACAGAGTAAAAGCTTGACATGTGTATGCTAAAGACATAAGAATGATGGGGAAAGATCACTCGGTGCTGCGCTGGGTCTTTCTTGGGGTGCGCGGCTTCTCTAATTGTGATGCATGGGCTTAGTTGCCCCGCGGCATGTGGGATCTTAGTTCCCTGACCAGGGATTGAACCCACATCCCTTACACTGGAGGACCACCAGGGAAGTCCCCAGGGTGCTTTTTCGAGGGGCAAACTTGTTAACATTCAGATATTCGTAGTCCCTACTCTCTCGTGTACCCATGCACCGTTTGAAGTTCTGAGACCCTCTGGTATACTCACTTGAGGGCCATTTTACGGGGCATCTCAACCAAAGAGAATGCTTTGGGAAAGAAATAAAGAACTCAAAAGCAGTGGTTTTTCAACTGCTTCCCAAGTAATTTTAGGATCATGTGAAGCATTTCTGGTTGTTTGTTGAAAACATAGTTACTGTCTCATTCATTAAGCAAGAGCTACCATGTGTCTGTCATTGGGTAGAATGGGATGACATAGGGATAAGGGTCAGAGACAAAAGATGAAGATAACATAACTCCTTAGCCCGGAACTCAGTCTAGACCATTTTTTGTACCTCTAGAATCCATGTCAGGAAAACCCCAGGGCTTTGAATGGAAGAGCATCAGAAAATAGCACATCCTTAATGGTACTCACCCTTGAAGTTGTAAGGCTACGCATCAATTAATTTTTAAAAATATTATTCATTTATTTATTTATTTAGTTGCGTCGGGTGTTAGTTGCGGCAGGCAGGCTCCTTAGTTGTGGCTCGTGGGCTCCTTAGTTGTAGCATGTGAACTCTTAGTTGCAGCATGCATGTGGGATCTAGTTCCCTGACCATGGATTGAACCTGGGCCCCCTGCATTGGGAGCGAGGAGTCTTAACCACTGTGCCACCAGGGAAGTCCCACACATCAGTTAATTTGATCATTTCTGCTAAGCCATCTCAAACTTAGCCAGGAGAGAAAGATGGAAACTCATTGGTGGAAAGAGATTTTAATGAGTCATCTTGTTCTGATCTATCATCAGAGACAATGAAGTGTGCCTTTTTTCCATTGATATTTTTCAGTTACTACTAGCATTTTTAATCATTTAAAATTACTAGTTTGTATTTTAGTGACCTCTTCTTACTCTCCCCACCCCCTTGGTTTTTCTGTTTGTGTATAGTTCTGGTGAAAATGAGTTAGGAAAGGAGATTGATGAGATTGGATAGCTCAGCATCCTAGAATACACTTTATCTCTTTTCTCATGAAGTGAGGATATGTCGCTTCTTTTGCAGGACGGGATACAACTGCAGAAGCAACAAGTGAACCTTTAAAGATGCATATGGGGCTGCACAAAGAGCAGAGAGGAACTGGAGAAACCAAGGAAGTAAGGAAAAAGTATGTTTCCTGGGTAAATAGTACACTTCTGAATTTAGGTTTCTTGCATATCAATTACCATTACTTTGTCATGCCTAAGTCTTTATGGCTGTATTTAATCTTTGTTAAACATTCTTTATTTTCTCCTTCCTTGATTTTTATTGCTGAGCTCTTTGATCAAATGATTCTTTTAATCATTTGGATTAATCATTTGGATTAATCTAAAAATATCTGTATTGAATATACAATTTAGGTGACTTCTTAGATCACTTGATAGGAACCTGTTATATCTTAGGTTGACCATTGGGTATTATAAAAGAGTTGTGTGTTGTGTCTCTTGTGATGTGCAGGTTTAGTTCAAGCTCAATTTTTTAGTCTGAGTGCAAAACATACTTCTGCTTTATTAAATGACTGACTTGAAAAACACTGGTTTGAATACCAAATTATCCAAGCCATGTTCTCAGGCTATAGGATGTGTGGTACTGCTCTCTGGAATATGAAAATTAATACTAAAGACAAAGCTGACTGGCCAATAATTAATGTAAATAGGCATAGCCTCCCCTTGATGAACTAGATGTGCCCTAGTAAAGTTATATACTCACATTATGTATATACATATACACATATGTATATACATATATGAGTTGGGAACTCAGTTTATTCTGTTACTGAGCCACTCACAGGCTTAGATTTTGAGGGGTTTTGTTGTTAAAGTTTTTTAAATAAAGGAAATTTACTACCTTATTTATCATTATAAAGTTAAGAACCTTAATAAGTAGAACTTTTTGGAAAGAAAGGGGAGGAAATGGAGTCAGGGTCATTGCTGGTATATAATGGAAGTTCTGTGCACAGCAGCCTGACTTGGATAACTCCATGGCAACATCACTCCCTCCCCACAAGCCTGGGCCACCCAGCCCATGGGAATTTCCTCACAGCTGTCACTTGTGGAACTTCCTGTCTCATGGTGGATTGTGGCAGGCCTACTGTTAGATAGAAGGTATATTCCAGTTTTCTCATTCTTTAACTTTGAGTTGGAAGGTGGAGTAAAAACTATTTAATGGCCTTGTATATCAATCCTCTAAACTAAAAACGGCATAAGACAAGTTTATTACAAGTGCACTTGTGCACACATTTTCTAGTGCTCACCTTCACACCGACTCTGCGTCAGTCACACTGATCTCCTTACGGCTCTTCAGTCAGTCGTGGACTCTTGTCCTCCCAGGTAGCCACGTGGCTTCTGGCCGCCTTCTCCTTCAGGTCTCTGCTGTGGGGGCAAAGTGAATGTGAAGGCCAAAGCCAAATTGGAATCACCAGGAATTTTCTGTGATGTCATTCCCCTACCTAGCCCCTGGCAGCACTGAGCCACCTCGCCTAGCTCCAGCTTCCCTCCTTTCGCCCACTCCACTCCTCCTACCTATCAAATGTGATGTTTTGTTTATTCTACACATCATGCTTTTTCTATTTCACCTTTAAGATCTTTTAAAATTAATCTTTCACTTTCAAAGGCACATACCATTTGACTCAGCAATTGCATTTCTAGGAATTGATCTCACATGTAACCTCGCACAGGTATGCAAGTAATCTTGAACCTCCTCAGCCTCTGTTAAATCTTCATGCATGCTTCTGATTTCAGTAGCACTTGGACTGAGACTAATTATCTCTTGCTGCCACTGTTCCGTTGTTGGCATGGGTCATGTCCCCGTCCAATAACTTGGGCGGCTGCCTGCCTCTTTGCCTGAACTGCAGGCACAGGAGCTAAGTGTCCCCTTTTGGGCTTCTTCTTTTGCACTCCTGTTGCCTTACAGCAATCTTTCTCTTCCCATTTGCGAATATTACAAATGGTTTTGCGTTGCATTTTTTTAGACACTTAGATAATTACGTATAGAGTAATGGTATCTCGACTTAGCCGCACATTAGAATCAACTTAGAAGCGTTATAAATTACTAATGTCTCGTCCCACCACCAAAGATGCTGAGGCAGTTTGTCTGGGGTGAGTTGTAAGCATTGGCATTTTAAAAATCTGCCAGGGTGATTTTCACTGCGGTCAAGTTTGAGGACCAGAAATAGTGTTGATTTTTTCTATACTGGTGATGACTTTGGTCACTTTAAGCTCATCGTAACCATTTAAGTGATTTCTTTGGGTTTGCAAGTTACAGTGGTGTTATATATATTAAAAAATTTGCCTCTTCCTTTATTGTATTTGTATTTCTTACTCGTTTTCATGTTGCTTTGTATTGGAAGGCACTTCTGATCCTATATTAATTAACAGTGATGATAAAATGCTGCTTCACTTTGTGCCTGTTTTTAATGACTGCATGTCTCATTTCTTCCTTGAAGTATACTGTTGACATTTGGTTTTAAATAGTTACTCTAAAAAGGGTAAGAAAGTATACCTTTATTATTAGTTTTAGAATTTTAAAATTAAGAATATCTGTTGGAGTTTAACAAATGAATTTTTGGTATCTGATGACATGATGCAATTTAAAATTTTAACCTATTCCTAGATTCTGTTTATGGTTTTTTTTTTAATTTTTGAGCATAAATTTTGAGTAAGCTTCATCTAGTTTTCTCTCTTCATTTTCTCTGCCAGTTTTAGAATTGGGTTCGTAGAATGAACTAGATAACCTATATCTTGACCTTTTTTAGATATGTTTTCTATAATATGTTTTGTTTGTTTGTGGAGAGTTTGAAATGATCCACTAATAAACCATCAGGGGCGAGTTGCTTTGGGGGCAGGGGTGTAGTTATTTATTTTTTCAAAGATGTTGGTCTAGTTAAGTATTTTAGAATCTTTGTTTTCTAACAATGCTTAAAGCAATGCTTGTCCTCTGTTCTTTTTTTTAATAGTCTATAAATTTCTTGTGCAGTGATTTTGTTATATTTTCTAATTTCATTATTATTTCAGAGCTCTGTTATTTCAAGCAGAATGTTGTCAGATTTTGTCTTCTGTTCAACCAATCTTGAAGATTCTATAACTTATGTGTGAATTTAGCATCTTTAATTTATGGTTGCTTTTGCATTTGTTATGTTTTCTACGTATAATTCGTTTCTTAATTTTTGTATTGCTTAGTCGTCTCTTTCCTGTTACGCCTTCTGTTTTATGGAGTGGCCTTTTCTTCTTTTTAACTTTAAGACAAAATTTAAACGTGAACAATTCTCTTAGTGCTAAAAATAACATTTGTTCCCTAAATTTATTTACTATCATCAAAGCAAAAGCAGGAACTTTCCTTTCCTTCCATATAAGGAAACTCAGTTTCTCCCTGTTTTGGCATCCCCTCTTCTTACTTCTCATCTACTCCAGATATTTTTACCCTTCACATTTTACATTTGTTCTGTGAGGTGCACTAATTCTTCTAGGTTTCAGCCTGATACTCGTAAGTATTTTGTTATTCTTGATTAAGTTAGTTAACAACCACTGAAGCCTCACTCTGAGCTGGACAGACACTGAACTAGGTGCAGGAGATACAAAGAGAAAGGTAGCTCTGTCCTTGCCTTCAAGGTCCCTTTCTGGTTGAGGAGGTGGCATGCATGCAAACCCACAATGGCGAAAGACGTGATGTGTCAGGTGTCCTGGAGACACAGGGAGGGAGGGAATGTTGTTTGGTGAGTCAGCGAAGGCATCCTGAATGCTGAGTGTTACTGTGCCAGTAGGGCTTTGTTGGATAGAGGATAAAGCGGATGGGCAAAAGCCTGAAGGTACCTAAGTGGCTGGAGAGGAGACTGGACAAAGGGTTGTTGGGGCCAGATTGCGAAGCACCTGGAATGCCTGGCCAACAAATTTCGGCTCTCTGCGGCCCCACCAGAAAGGTTTTAAAGCCGGGGAGTACTCTGTTCAAGCCTGTTTTTAGGAAGATAACTCTGGCTGTCATGTGAGGCACGGACTGCAGGGAGGAAGTCAGTTGAGCAGCTGTGGCAGTCATCCAGGTAAGAGATGATGAGAACTCAAACAAGGTGGTAGCAGCGGCGATGGAGAAGATGAGGTGTTTTGAGGAAGAATCTAAAAATACTCGTTCCTGACTCAGGTGAGATTGGGATTAGAGGATGACTTAGAGGGTTTTCTTGTTTGTTCGTTTTAGGGAAGATAATAACAGACGGTGGAAATATCGACTACCTTATATCACGGGGTGGATGTTGTGGAGGGGGTCGCAGAGACTACTTTGGAGAGAGACAGAGCATTTTAGGACTTCCTGAGTTTAAAAAATTGTCAACAGATCTAGGAAAACATATCTAGGGGTAATTGGAAATATGAGTTAGAAACTCAGTTGAGATGTAGGGGCCGGAAATAAAGGTTGTGAGATATACTTGCTCCAAGGAGGAGGTCAAAGCCATGGAATAGATATAAAGTTCCCCCTGTCAGAGCATGTAGGCAGAAAAAAGGGCTTAGGTTGGCCTCCTGGCCAAGACCAGTCTTTATGTGCAGGAAGTCAAAATGTACTGAGCCCTGTAATACATGTCCTGCATGGGGCGGTGAGAGCTTTTTCAGATGGCTTACTTTATCTTTTTAATAGCCCTGCGTGTGGAAATTATTACTACCCTACTTCGTGGGCCAGGAAACTAAGGCTCCAAGGCATTGTCACTAAGCTAGTAAGTGGGATGCAAACCAGGCCTGAACGCCAAGCTGATGCTAGAGGAAGAGGTAGGGGAGAAGCAGAAAAGAGTGCTGTGGAAGAGATGGTTTCCTACGAGGGGCAGTGGCCACTCACCCAGAGGGTCCAGCAGGAGAAGGAGAAGGAGAAGCTCAGCCCCTGGTTTTCTCAGTTAGAAAATTGATAGTGATTCCACCGTGCTCAGTCCACAGGGTGCGGAGGTCAGCTCACACTGGAGTCAGACCAGCTGAGGAAATGCAGACAGCGCTGTTGACCGCAGCTCTTGGAGACATCTTGGTGGGAGAGGAATGACAAGAGCATCTGGCCTAGGGGGTTGGCATCATTTTGTTTGTTTAGAGATGACAGCTTGAAGTATTCTGATTCACTCATCTCTTTTCCTTTGAGGTCTTATATTTTAGATCGCCTTGTCTCTGG